AAAAAAAAAAAAAAAAACACCAAGAGCTGAAAATGTAGTCAATCAGTAGAACTCTTGCCTACCATATAAGTGTATTGAGTTTGACCCCCAGAACTTACACACACACACACACACACACACACACACACACACACCTATTTCATCACCTTCATCATCATCACAGGAGCAGCTGACTGCACTAGGTGTGTGTTACCTGTAAGTTGGCTCTAGATCACTCAGTACCCACAGGTCTACGAGATTGGCTCTATTTACAGATAAGGAAACTAGAAGTCAGAAGGCTAATACTTTGTTCAGGCTCCACACACAGAGAGCAAAAGAGCCAGAACTCAGAGATTTGACTGAAGACGGTGTGTCCATAGCCCTGTACCAGATCTGCATCTGGCGTGTCAGCAGATCTTGTCCAACTCATATCTGTTTCTGCATCTTCCAGAGTTCAGTTCCCTATGGCTGGCTCCTATCACTGGCCCAGCACTGGTCTTCGCTTTGTGGTGACAAGGGCAACGATCATAGAGATAGAATTCTGTGCCTGGAGACAGTTCTTGGGCAAGACTCCCCTGGAGCAGAGTCACATGGTGGCTGGGCCTCTGTTTGACATCAAGGCTGAGCAGGGAGCTGTAGACTCTGTGTATCTGCCGCATTTTGTGGCTCTCCAAGGTAACCAAGGGAAGTATAGGCAGGATGGCGGTGGTAGTGGGAGGTCTTCCCGGTCACATAGGAGAATGGAAGATGATAGAGGGGGTGATGAGGAAAGAGCTCCTGTCTTTCTTAGAGAGACACAGAGGGTCATGAAGGTAGAGCTTACCTGAAAGAGCCCCTAAGTAGGAACTGATGTCCTCAGCTGCAATAATTTTAACTCCTTTTATTTTTCTTTGTGTCTTCCAAATCATGCATCTCCATCCCATTCATTCCCCCATCCCTTCATATCTGCTCTCTGCGCGTGAAACATCCTCCTGCAATTAAATAAAATTTAAGTGGAAAAAAATCAGTCTCATCATGTAAGCTTCAGTGTGACACGCTGAGTCACACCACATCCACGTATCTTTACTTGCAAGTGTTCATTACAAAGAATCATTGGTCTTGTTCAAGGCCTCTGGTTTCTGCTACACTGTTAATTCTGGGCCTCAGTGGAACTCCTCTCGGATATCCTGTTGGTACCCTGTGTTGAGGAGATCCTTCAGCTTCGTGTTTGCTGAACCAGTCCCTACACAATGCTCCAGCAGATCACAGATGGGGTGGATGTTGTGCTGGGCCAACTCATAACCCTGGTTCTGGGCCTGGGTTCTTTCAGGGTTGCTCAGCCCTTCAGTTCTCCCTTGTCCTCACCACAGGATAAGCTCTCCTGCACTGTCTTGGTGAGTTCACCCTTTGTGCTGAAGAGCAAGAAGTGGGGCCAGTTCTCCTGCTTTCATGTCCATAGGGTCGGATCTCCCACACTTACACCTTCAGGTCAGCTCTAGCGTGAGGTGCAGGGGAGACTCTCCCAAGTGCTGCAGCTGATGAGGGGCAGGGGCAGCTCTCCCACCTGCCTCAAATATTGGTAGGCAGGGGGTAGGGTGAGGGAGAACATCTCTCCACTGCCCGGGCTACCTATCAGTAGCAATATTAACTGGCATTTCTTAAGTGCTTTTTACATATCATATCCCTTTGGCTTCTAACAGGAAATGGGATAAATTAAGCTATTTTAAGAGATTTTTCTAAAGACTATGTACCAAGTGAACTAACAAGCAACTGTTAGTACCAAAGTCTGTCAGCATGTGAAAACCATTACCATCCCTACAGGCATGGAGAAGATGGGGGTCACCAGCTTTCATTAGAGAACTGGAGATCCATCAGCTGGGCCTGGGAAATGAAATTTTCCTCCAAGAAATTAGGGGGTCTTTGAATGCAAAGGAATCTACCCAAAGCCTACTGAGCTGCAGGTCAGATTTGGACAGGGATGAATTCACCAAACTGGTAACAATGTCTTTTGAGGTATCCTGGGAAGGCCAAGATCAAGGTGCCAGTGTATTCAGTGTCTAGAAAAGAATATTCTCTTTGTAAATGGCATCTTCTACCTTTTCCCTCAAATGGCAGAAGAGGCCCTTTGACTCTTTCCTAAGCCCATTCAAGAGGGTACTACATCCATGTCCTCATTGCCTCCCTAAAGATCCGCCCAAATTCATTCCCCTGGATTAGGATTTTGAGAGGTCAGGGTCATTCATACCTCCCCCAGAAGGTCTCTCTGAGACTGAGTCCTGGGCTTCTGCTATCTCAAGCCTGGCTCAGTCAGGCACTTAATCTATGTCTTTTGACTCCATTCTTGGACAGAAATTCAGGACACCTCAAACTTCCAAGTGGCCCACTTTCTGAAGGACGGGGTGGTCTTGGAGACGCCAACCGAAGTGGAGCCACATTGCACAGTTCTAAAAAAACCCAGCTTCTCTACCATAGGAGTGATGCTAAAAATAATCCCTGTCACCCGGCGATTCCTGCCCATCACCTCTATCACGTTGCTCTACCATCAACCTCATGCTGACGAGCACAAATTCCACCTTTACCTCATCCCCAATGACTGCACTATTCGAAAGGTAACACAGAGAACCACAAAGGCCCATCCATGAGACGCAGTCAGAGAGTATCCCAGTGGGGTCCTCTCCTGGGGGTCAGGGTGGGACTCTAGTGAGCGGTCCCTGGTGTGCTCAGCTTTGGTCTGGTTCCCTCAACCCCAAGTCTCCCCTGTGTCTACAGCTCTTTCACTCATCTCTGCACAGCCTTCTATGGCTTCTCTCATGGCATTAGAAGAACGGGGAGGCTCCACGCCCAACCTACAGCCTTTCCCTCCCACTTCTTCTCTGTCAGCAGCTCTATGACCACTGTGAACATGGAACAATCTAGAGTGGGAAGGTCTGTTCAGTACATGGGGAAAAGGGCTGCAGAGGTTTAGTTTCCATCCCCACCACCCTCACCCCCACTTCTGTGCACACACACAAAAGAACCAACACCTAACCTTATTCGATGAGATTATGTAGAGAAGAAATCGTTGTCTGTTATCTTCCTTAGGCCATAGATGATGAAGAAATGAAGTTCCAGTTTGTGCAAATACACAAGCCTCCCCCGATGGGCTCCCTTTATGTGGGCTCTCGTTATACTGTGTCTGGTTCAGGGACTATGGAAATTACACCCAAGGTAAGCAACCTGATACTTGCCCTTCACCAAGGTCAGATGCCAGGCTTGGGAAAACCTGTAGGGTGGGTCTCCCAGGAACTCACACTTGAGGTTTGGAGGAAAGCGATTGAGATCCACCATGAATAGACTAACTAACTAGATATGGATGAACTAAGTTGGGGCACGGTAGTGTTTAGGGTATACTGTGCCAAAGCCATGGAGTCAAATGAACCTGGCTTATTACTCATCATAGGGCATCTCAGTAAAATGGTTCTAGAAAGAAACCCTGTAGGATGTCTGTCATTTTGTAATTGGCAGGAAGGACTAAGGAAGCCTATTTCCTCTGTCTTGGGTATTGTTACAGAGCAGGGACAATTCCATGACTGATCTCAACAAACTGAATGCTATCATGGTTAAACCAAAGCAAGTAGAGTATTGGAATTGTTGAGCATGCAAGACTCATGTAGTGTGTGCTGTAAGGTTGTTTGGGATCCTATGGGCTCCATGGTAACCTGTTTAAAGAAGATGCTCTGTGAATGTCCAGTGGAAAAGCAGTAATACGGCTGGCCTGCAAGCCTTGGAACATTTTGTACCAACACTGAGATTTAGCTCTGAGTCTGAGATTCTTCCAGGACACCAGGGTCTGCTTTTGACTTTTTCCCTCTCAGTGTATCCTCTCCCAACAGTCTTTGACCAAAAGCTACTGAGCATTAATCTGCATTCCCCAAATGTCCATAACTCTCAATGGTGGTCTGTGGCTGAACCAAAGTTAGATATGTGTGAGTTCAGTCTGAAACATCTATCAGGACACTGGCTGGCAACAGTACTTGAGAACCCAGACAAGCCTGGTGCTGGCACACTGCTTTAGTCCCAGCTCCTGGGAGGCAGGGACAGATGGATCTCTGTAAGTTCAAGGCCAGCCTGGTCTACAGAGATAGTCCAGCACAGCCAGGGCTACACAGAGAAACCCTGTCCAAAAAAAAATTAAATTAAAAAAGCCTAAAAACTAAAAAACAAAATGACAAAACAGGGGCTGAGGAAATGACAGCAAAGTATGATTTCACAGAAGCATGAAGGCCTGAATTAAGTCCCCCAGTACACAGGTCAAAAGCTGTATGTAATTCCAGTGCTGGAGACACAGAGACAGGAGGATCCCTCAGGAAAGCTGGCCAGCCTAGCAAAAACTAAGGTTGGGGCCTTATGAGCAAGATGGCTCAATGGATAAAGGCACTTGCCACCACACCTAACAACCTAAGTCTGGTCCCTAGAGCCCACATGGTACATGGAGAGAATTGACTCCATCAAGCTGTCTTCTGACCTCCGTATGCACACCGTGGCACATGTACACACACACACACACACACACACACACACACACTGATGGTCCTGTTTAATATTGAGCTAGGTGACAGGTACTGAAAAGGAGGTGATGTCTGCTTTTGAGTCAGAAATTAGGAACCAAAGGATAAATTGGCAAGCTGCTCAGTTTGGAGCCCTCCTGCACAACAGTTCCTAACAACTGATAAGAGAGAGATAATCTGTTCATTCAGTGGGTGTTAACCTAGTGCCATGGATATGCTTCAAGGAAGTTAGGTCAGTGGAGCCAACAGATAGACCTGCATGAATAAGAGTAACCAGTACCACTGAGAGCTAGCAAGTAAATACAGCATTGTGAGAGAGTGACTTGGGATCAGTTCTCAATTGATCAAGATCGATTGTAGGATCTGCACTTACCAGAGAATGAGTTGGCCACTTTCACTGGCAGTCAGAGAAACACCTCTGAGAAGATGCCACTTGAGTTGAGGCCTCAGTGACATAAAGACTTGGGGCATGTAGGATTCTGAAGTGCATCAGACACAGAACATGTGCAGAGGCACAGAGGTGAGAGCAAGCTTGAAATACCTGGGTGTCAAAGAGGAGGTCAGCGTGGCAGAGTTGGTGCCTGTAGCAGAAAATGGGGTCGCACTAGAGATAACATCTCCCAGGGCTCGTTGGTCCATTTGACCCTGTTGCAGGGTTTTGATTTTGTTCAAGTACATAAATCATAATCATAAACATTCTGCAGGACTTCATTTACTCTGATAAAGATGTGTCTAGCACTAGGAGAGAAGGGATGACAAGCAGGCAAGAGCGGAAGTAGAAACGAGTCAAAGGCTGCAGATGAGAGGCCATGGTAGCTTAACTAAGGCAGCAGTCATGGAGATGAATGGTTGACAGATTCAGGAAACTGACAGCACAGGAAACTGTCAGGACCAAAAGGACCATGAGTCTTTGTGGCAGGTATCCAAATCGATCTTGTTAGTAAAGACAACAGGCTTTGATAGATAGGTTGTTATGGGAAGAAAAGGAAGAGGAGGTTACAGATGGTGCCTAGATGGGAGTATCCAAATCAATCTTGTTGGGAAAGGCAACAGGCTTTCATAGACAGGTTGCTATGGGAAGAAAAAGAAACAGGTTACAGATGGGGATCTGAGCACTCACCAGAAGGTTGTACAATTTTCTGAGTTTGAAGAGACTTGGGAAGGGCATTCTTGAAAGACAGTTGGGAACCAAGTCTTCTGTCTTGGATTGGATCTGCCTAGGAAAAGGGATAGGTGTAAATTTTCTGTTGACTGGAAACAGTTTAGGTTTAAGACTTGTTAGGAATGAAATTTTGTACTGAAGGAATAAGGGCTTAAGTTCAAGATAAGAAGTAAGGAGAGAACATCCCAATTAAAGATGGACAGCCAGGTGGTTGGTGGCACATGCCTTTAATCCTAGCACTCAAGAGGCAGACAGGTAGATCTCTGAGCTCAAGGTCAACCTAGTCTACGGAGTGAGTTCCAGGACAGTCAGGGCTATAAAGAGAAATTCTGTCTAAAGGAAAGAAAAAGATGAAGGGGAAAGTGTTTGGCTTAGAATATGTGAGCACTGCTTCGAGAAAGAGCCCTGAGCTGGTCCATGGAGTCTCTTCAGGGCTCTCACCCTTCTGAGGTAGGACATGTTGTCAATGCTGTTGATTGACTTCAACGGGAAGGAAAATGTCCTTCTGAGATGGAGTAGGACCTAAAAGGTGTTAAAGTGGGAAAAGCCTCATCTTCAGAACAAGCAATGGCTTCTCACACAGAGGTCCTTGCTCTCTCCAGGAACTGGAGCTGTGCTACCGGAGCTCCACGGAAGCCCAGCTCTTCTCAGAGATCTATGTTGGCTGCTTAAAATCAAGGATCCGGCTGGAAATAAAAGACAAGAATGCTGATGCTGTCGTTTGGGAAACTGTGTTGAAACCAGGTAAATGCAGGACAAATCCAGGGTGTACACACGTAAGAGAAAGATCTATGGTGGGCCAGGTGATAAGAAATGTCCCCAGAGAAAGGATGTGGCTCTTTAAGTTACAGAGACTCGATTTGATCAGAATTTCAACTCTTCCAGAAGTCCCGAGTTTGTTTCCCAGCACCCATGTTTCATGACTAGTTATAACTCCAGCTCCAGGGGATCCAGCACCCTCTTCTGAGCTCTGCAGGCACCTACACTCATGTGCATAGGCACACACACAAGTATAATTTAAAATTACAAAAATAATTCTTTAAAAATATTAAAGAGGAAAGGGACTAGATTTCTATTCAAAGTATCAAGTACTTAAAACTATCCTCTGACTTGGTTAGTTCTCCAGGAATTTAATTCAGGCTAAGACAGGCTAACATGGGTTGAGTTGATGTTGGAAGAAATTGCTATTTAGAAACTATCCTTCTTTTTATTAGTCTAAAATTATAACTTCCAGCTTCCGCTTCCTAAAGACATAAGGAAAAGATCCACCTAGATTTTTTTCTATGGGTCCATCCTTCCCTCATGCCGGATTCTGACAGAGTTCGTCTGCAGCTTGTTCTCAGAATCCAGGCATCTAGATGAGAGATTCGGGATATGTTGTGTGAGTTCATAATAGCCCTGTTATAGATGCTGCTTCATCTCTCCTTTTTTCTAGGGGACCTCAGACCTGCATCCACTCTGGTCGCTGCAGCCTCTACAGGTCAGTAGCACCTGCCAGACCAGATGAGGTAGTGGGAATTTCAGGGTACATGCACTATCTGGCTCTGGAGGGAAAGGAAAGAAGAAAAGAGGGGACCCTCTCTTTGCAGGCCTCACCAGGGTGGGGTTGGAGAGCTCTACATCCAGAGTCCCCATGCTCCTCACTGCGCCGTAACACACCTCACTCACAACCTCAATCATGGGCCCTTCCTGTTCCCATGGGGTGTCAGGCTGGACGCTGACATGAGGGTAGACGAGGGGTTTCTCTGGTAGTCACAGGCTTTCCAGAGTGAAAAGGAAGCCAGTGACACAATGAGATAAGAACCAGAAGTGGAGAATGAGCCAGGAGAGACTCCAGTGGGAGCCTTGCTTGGATCATCACCAGTCTTGCCTTCACCCACAGTTGCCAGACCCTCCCGGCACTTTGTGGACCAGCACCGGGAGCAGCTGGTGGCCCGAGTGACATCAGTGGACCCTGTCCTGGACAGACTGCACGGTCAAGTGCTGAGTGAAGAGCAGTATGAGATGGTTCGTGCTGAGGCCACCAATCCCAACAAGATGCGGAGGCTGTTCAGCTACAGTCAGTCCTGGGACCGGGCCAGTAAAAGTCAGTTCTACCAAGCTCTGAAGGAGACCCATTCTCACCTGATCATAGAACTCTGGGAGGTGTGGGCCAGGGATCTTGGGGAATGGGTATCCTGAAAGCTCAACAGCTGAAGCCTGGGCCTTGAATCACATTCCTGCCTGATCTTTCTTTTGGCCTCAATCCCACCATCTGTGATCCCTCTTGGTCTGTAAAGCTTCCAACAGTCTTGCCAGCTGCAGAACGCATTCTCAGAGATGTCATTATTCCCTCTGGACAGCCTACCTGGGAAAGCCAAGGGGGCCATCTGGGTGACTGTGAGACATCCTTGGCAGTGGGCATACTTTATCAGTCCACTCAGAATGGTTTACAGTTTAAAACTTAAAAATTGTTTGTTTCTGGAATTGTCCATGTAACATTTTCAGGCCACACTCTACTTTGTGCTAATTAAAAACCCTGCCTTTAAAAAAAAAAAAAAGACTAGAGTATACAGCGGGCACTGAGCACAATATCTTGATTTCACTGCTTAGTGGGTGAGTGAAGGAGACCAACATTCCACAACTATATGGCTAGGAAACGTAGCACTGTATACAAATGTCGGGGGGATGGAGGGCCCCCATTGGGAACATTCCAGTGCCCAGCAGACTCAAGCCTAGAGGACAAAGAAGCTGCAGACAGCAGACTGCTAACAATGGTTAAAACAGTAGCAGCAGCCCTAAACAGAAGCGAAGAGCCCCACCACCACCACCACCACCACCACACACAGAGCTACTGAGCCCACTGCTACGGAGAATTCAAAGCTCTTTCATTTTAATCTCATTTAAAGCCCTGATGAACTAAGTGAGCAGCCTGGACACTGTAAGCATCTGCAAACATCACAGCAGAAACCTCTACAGTGTTTCCTACCTCTGTGGAAACAGAGACTGGTGAAGCTCTGGGGTCTTTCCACCACTGGGTTTGATAGCTCTTCTCTGGTTGGTGCTATTTCTTTACCTTATTTGCATATTCACATTTAGCCAGCTAGGATCTAGCTAGCATCCTGACAACCAAGTCCATACATTTCAGGGCTATAAAGCCAGAACTATTGCAAGAACCCATGGAAAAAGAGGAAAGAAAGACTTCCAAGCCTGGTGCTCCTGCACTCCAGAAAAAGAAAAAAAGAAGTCCTTTGTACTTCAAAGAGCCAGACTCCCAAACACCTACCTCAGTCATAAAGAGAGCAGACTTGCAGGAGGTGCCTGCACCTGAGGTTTTTCTGTCCTGGGCAAAGCCAGCTTCCAGGACTCAGTTGTTTCTGCATCAGCCTCCAGGACTTGGCACTGGCTGGGTGGCAAAGGGGAATTTATCCCTGTGACTATTTCCAGCCTCCAAGAACTTCTGCTTCAGAGACTGTGGCTCCAATCTTCCAACCTTCCAGACCCTCTGGAGACAGGAGAACAGGAGACAAGAGCTCACGCTCCTCCTGTAGGTACCTACGGACTTCTCCACAAGGGACTGCTCTTGGCTGGCCTCCCAGTGCTCTGCAAGCCGCTGAGCTGGAACACTCCCCTTAGCTGGAACACTTCTCAGAACTGTTAAGAACATCCCACTGCTATGGAGAGTTCAAACCGGTTTCATTTTAATCCCATGTGGTAGTCTGTTTTAAATTTTGTTTTGTTCCCCTTGAACCTTGCCAATCCCAATTTGAAAAATAAAATGCCTACCATTTGTACTCAATTCTGTCTACCCACTCCATCCTTGAGGAGAGAGGGACAGGAACGTGGTAGGGGACAGAAGACAGTCTCCACCTACCACTTGACAAGCATAAAAAAGAAAAGAAAATTAGGAGGCAAAAACCATGCCTCAGTCCCATCTACTTCATAAGTATAAGGAATAAGCCAAATAAACCTTTCCTCCCCCAGTTGCTTTGGCCATAGTGTTTAATCACTGCCATAGTAACCCTAAGACAGAAATTGGTACCAGGACAATGAGGTATTGCTGTGAGAGACCTGACCATGTGTTTAGGGGAGGATTGCAGGACTTTGGACTAGAAAACTCACTCATTGAGCTTGGGGGTGAGGGTGGGGGGGGGCTGTTCTGTAGGAGCTTGGAAGATAAAAACGTTGATGAACTTTAGAAGTCTGAACTGGAGCCTGCAGTTCTAGAAGATCTGCCAATCTCTCCCCTGGGGAAGGAGGGGAACCCAAAAGTGCTGAGTCCTCCCACTTGGGCATACAGGAAACCCAGGACCTGCTAAAGTTTCTAGTGGAAGCAGCTAGCCTTGGGCCTTCAGAGCTTGCCCGCTTCTGCCACCTGCAGGATGGAGCCGCAACAGCAGCCATAACTCTGAAGAGGGCTGAATGCAGAGGAGGAGAAGGCAGACAAGAATCCAGGAGGGGAGCATCAAAGCTGAGAGCTAGAGTGAGGGCGTCAATGAGAGCCTGCATCCTCCTAAAGACTAATGTCACCCATAGACAAAGGCACACTCATACACTCACACACTCGCAAATAGTTCCTTGATTAGGTTTCCAGGGTCCAGACAGCCGATATGGTAACACAAGTTGTTCTAAATAACTTGGTGCCTACCCAAGATAAACGAGTGCACACAGCCATACAAACACTTGTAAACAATTGGCCAAGAAGTTAAACCTTTAATAGTTAAAAATCTAGACACAAGGCAAAACCCACTAACAGATAAATAGAAAAATGCTTTGTGGTGATATGCACATGGCAGAATACTGTATTAAAATTAGCAATTATGAATAAACTGCTGGAACCCACTTATGAGTGAGTACACACCACGTTTCTCCATGGGTCTGGGTTACCTCACTCAGGATGGTTTTTTCTAGTTCCATCCATTTGCATGTAAATTTTAAGATGTCATTGTTTTTATCTGCTGAATTGTACTCCATTGTGTAAATGTGCCACATTTTCTTTATCCATTCTTTGGCTGAGGGACATCTAGGTTGTTTCTAGGGTCTGGGTATTACAAATAATGCTGCTATGAACATAGCTGAGCAAACGTCCTTGTGGTATGAGTGTGTATCCTTCCCGTATATGCCCAATCTGGGGTCTTGCGGTAGGTTGATTTCCAATTTTCTGAGAAACTGCCACACTGATTTCCAAAGTAGCTGTACAAGTTTGCACTCCCACCAGCAATGGAGGAGGAGTGTTCGCCTTACTCCACATCCTCTCCAGCATGTTATATCATTGGTGCTTTTGATTTTAGCCATTCTGACCAGTGTAAGATGGTATCTCAGAGTCGTTTTGATTTGCATTTCCCTGAGCACGTCCTTAAGTGTCTTTTGGCCATTTGCGATTCTTCTGTTGAGAATTCTCTGTTTAGATCTGTACCACATTTTTTATTGGATTATTTGGTAATTTGATCTCTAGTTTCTTGAGTTCTTTATATATTCTGGAGATCAGTTATCTGTCTGATGTGGGGTTAGTGAAGATCTTTTCCCATTCTGTAGGCTGCTGTTTTGTCTTATTGACCGTGTCCTTTGCTTTCCAGAAGCTTCTCAATTTCAAGATGTCCCGTTTATTAATTGTTGCTCTCAGTCTGTGCTACTGGTGTTATATTTAGGAAGTGGTCTCCTGCACCCATGCATTCGAGGCTACTTCCCACTTTCGCTTCCATGAGCGTCAGTGTGGTTGGATTTACACTGAGGTAAAGCAAAGGATAACCAGCTTATAGTCTATGATCCCTGAGAAGCAAAGAAACAAGGAGAACCCTAAGAGAAGCATACATGGACAACCGCACCCCCCCCCCCCCCGGGAAGGGGAAACTGACAAAATCTCCTGAGAATATTAGGAAGGGAGGAGAAGGAAGGGTGTTAAGGGAAGGAAAGGAGAGGGATAAGGAGAACATGAGGGAATGGGATGCTCAAGAAGGGGGAAGGACAGTGCAGGAGAGAAAGGAAAGATATCTTGATTGAGGGGGCCATAAAAGGGCTAGAGAGAAACCTGGCATTGGGAAATTCACAGGAATCCACAAGGATGACCCTAGATAAGACTCTAAACAACTGTGGAGAGTTCGCCTTCCCCTGTAACCAGATTGATGACTACCTTAATTGTCATCATAGAACTTTCAACCAGCCACTGATGGAAGCAGATACATAGATCCACAGGGAAGAAGTGGGCCGAGCTACCTGAGACCAGTCCAAGAGAGGTAGGAGCGATAATATGAGCAAAGGGGTGAAGACCATGGTGGTGATGCCCACTGAAACAGCTGAGTAGTGAGAGCTCACTGACTCAGGACTGATTGTGGGAGAACCTGCATAGGACCAAACTAGGCCCCCTGAATGTGAGGGACAGCTGTGAGGCTTAGGCAGTCTGTGGGCCACTGGCAGTGGGACCAGGATTTAGCCCCTAGTGCTTGAACTGCCCTCTAGTAGTGTATTCTTTTTGGAGGGATATCTTGCTCAGCCTACATATAGTGGGGAGGCCTTGGTCTTACCTCCAAGCGAAGAGTCTGCCTTTGTTGACTCCCCATGGGAGGCCTTACCCTTGGGGGAGGAGTGAATTGGGGGGAGGGGGGCGGGAAGGGTGGAGCAGTAGGAGAGGAAGGACTGGAAATGGGATAGCTATGTAAAATGAGTAAAGGTTGTATTTTAAAAAAATCTTTAAAAAAATAAACAAACAGATAACAAAATGAAAAGAAAAAAATAAACTACGGGGACGGAACAATGACTCAGCAGTTAAAAACACTGGCTGCTCTTCCAGAGGCCCATATGGCCCACAACTGTCTGTAACTCCAGTTCCAGGGGATGACACCCTTGCACAGACATACACAGGCAAAATACCAATGCACATAAAATAAAAANAAAAAATAAACCATCGAGGGTAAAAGGGTGGGAGTGTGGACCTGGAAGGGATGGGAAAGTGAGTATGATTAGGTGAAATTCCCAAATAATTATTTAAAATGTTATGTTGGAGAGAGGGGGGAAAAACTACTAAAAAAAGGGGTTATAAAATTTTTGAAAAGAAAATATTAAATTTAAAATGCTAGAGGGGAAATAAATCCCTACTACATGATTCCAGTTACAAAAAAAAAATAGCTTAGAATACTACATTAGAGCCTGAGAATGAACTGTTTTAATCATCCAGCCCCTCTGTTACTCACTGCTGTCCTTTCATGCAGGCTCCCTCCTTGGTGTTGTAACTGCCTTAGCAGAAGCCGTTGCCAGATAAAGCTGCCTTGCTAGCCACCAGAACTATAGGCCACCCGGCCTCGTGTATTGTGTTATAATAACAAAAGTCATAGTGCCACATGTCTGTTATCCGAGCTACCTGGGAGACTGAGGCAAGAGGCTCACAAGAACTGGAGTTCAGTCTGGGAAGCAAAGTAAGACCACAGAGGTCTCCCTGAGATGTGCCTTCATCGCGGGGACCAGGGTTTTTTGTTTTGTGGGCGATAACTATTTTGGGGAGATAATCATATTCAGAAGAGGTTATTGCTCACTACTGGCTGCTAGAGGAAGTATGGGGAGGGACAAA